TTTATACCAGGCAGGCTGAACTGAAAAAATGCAAGTGTCTCGGTTGAGTTTATCTTATTAGGGGATTTAGGCTATGTTAATGCTATAGCTTCATTAATTACCCCATATCAATAAAAAAAGGCAGCTTTTAGCCTCCAAGCGTAAGAGAGGAAAAGAAATGGTGGTATCAAAGGAGACCTTCAAAGACAGCCAGCGCTGTCTCCAGGGTAATTTCTGATCCTGCATTCTTCCCACTTCAAAGCTGGATGTGTGTGTGTGTGTTTGGGTCGAGGGGGCTGGGGGAGCTTGAATCTGATTTCTCTAATAAGTGTTGGCATCAGCCCCGTTTGATATTAGATGCAGGGAACATTTTGATTTGTTATAGCCTTTGAAATTGTTCAGACGACCTTCAGAAAAATGGCTTCTTGTTATTTCTGGGGAGAAGGGCGAAAGCAGGGAAAGGGAATCCAGTTTAATTCCTATGCAGAGGATGCCCTGAAATTGTGCTTTCAGCGGTTTTTTAGTAACAAATGCATGTCCTGATTGAAAGTGAAAAGTTGAAGAATAATAGACCCATAACACTGCATTCCTTGGCGAAACTTGTTCACACTTTTTCTCTCCGGGGATTGCGGAAGACAGAAGATGACCACTGAGAAGTCGGATGGCTTAGCAAACTCGGGTAGCCATGGAGAGAACTATCACTGCCGCCCAGGTGTGGCCTCCACCTGGACTGCCCGGGCATCCCCTGGGGACTGTTGGAACTGCTGGTGGCCTATGAATCCTGTGTAGAAGTGTCCATTTTAGATCATTTAAAAGTCATCATACATTCGGCTTTTTAAAATGAAATAAAGAATTGCTAAGCTGCCAGCATGTTCATATACTGCTAAATGAATGTTAGCAGCAGTGATCATCACAGCAGCAGACCTCAGAGTGGATCAGTAGTGCTGAACTCTGCAGGGCCCCCCGAAGAGCCGAGCCAGTGGGGCACAGGGGGCTCTGTGAGCCCTGTGCCCTCCAAAAGCAGCCTCTTCCTCCTGGGCTTTCGAATTCTCCACACCAGTTAACTATGTGACACTGGACACATTACTTCATTTCTCTGGGCCTCAGTTTCCTCATCAGTGTGGTGGAAATGATGCCATCATCCTCATGCTGGGAGATTTAACAGGATGCTCGGATGGAGTGCAAGCCAGAAACAGCTGTCAGTGAATGATATCTGCCCTGGCCAGTTTGACAGAGATTGTCGGCGAGGTGAGAATGACCTTGCTGCTGATGTCAGCCCACCCTGAATGTTCTCTGCAGTGCGTAAATTTGACTTGCCACTATTTTTGCTGGTTGCATCGAGAGGTCTTTTGACATTGTAGGGTTTGTCCTGAGAGAGATGAGTCTCTAAGGCACTTGGTCGTCTGTGGGTTTGTTGCACTCCCTCTGAGAAGAGACCCAGTTCCCACCCTAAGATCCCTGTTCCCATCTCCTGAGTCCCCACAGGACGACTTTGTCCCCTGCATACTGAGGGGAATGATACTTCTCTTCCCAACACAGGGAGGTCTGCAGCTCCCGGAATGCTCCTCGTTTGACTATCACAGCCAGCAAAAAAATTGGTAGCCAGGCCCACTTTTGCAGCAAATGAGCTAGAGCTGATAAATATTCACTCAGATCCTTCCCGGCTTCCTGAAATGAATATCTGAAGATCTTCCTGGCCCAAAGGAGAAGCCAGGCATTGACTCCAGAATGCTTTTTAAACGGCTTTCTTTGGCATACATCTAGCAGAAAACCAAGCACAAACCACCTGCTGTGTGCTCCCAGCAGAAGGGGAGCCCATTGTTATCAGACCCTTTTCAGCCCTGTGCACCAGGTAAATAGACTGCATTGCCCAGCGGCCCTCATCCCAGATGGTGGAGCCATCCCTGGGGTCCTGAGTAATATTCTAAAACTCCTTCCAAAAAGAGCAGCTCCGTGGCTTTGAATAAGCATGGTCTATTCTGTGAATCCAGTCAGCTGGAGAAGCCATCTCTTAATTAAACCTGTGCATATTTCCCTCTGGATGGTTTTTTTTATTAAAATATCTTAAAGACACTGAAGGTTTTTAAGTAAAAGCTATAACTTTTGAGTCTGGAGATTCTTCTTTGCTGTCATTTTGTGGCTGTGTTTGTATCTTGGTCTGCTCACATGTGATGTGAACAGACAGGAAGGGTAACAGTGGAGAACTTCACAAGACACAGCTGTGGGCTTAAAATGTAAGGAGAACTATGTCAGTTCCAAGTTGAGACATTGATGTTACTCTTCCTAACATTTAGATTTAGAAACTTTGGCATCCCCCTGTCATCTTGGCAGTGATTCTGGAAGAACTCAAAGATGTGGCAAGTCGTTCTCATTCACCCTGCACTCCCTGAATAATCTGTAAATGGTGCATTTGTTAAACCCTGGCTGAACTGCTGCACTGGGAAAGTGACACAGGCCTGGCCTTTTCTCCCCAGGATGACCAGCCACCAGCAGTAGTTTCCTCTAACAGAATCGACAGCGCAAGAAATGAATCTCACACATTCCTTTTGAGGTTTCCTTCAGAGTTATCGTTGTCACTTCTCCTCCTACAGATTGTTAACCTGTCAAATTAAAACCCTGATGGAGCTGGGGATTTAGCTCAGTGGCCACCGAGCCTGTCTTGCAAGTGCAAGGTCCTGAGTTTGATCCCCAGTACCAAAAAAACCCTGATGCCTGGAGGTTTTGTTTTCATTCCTGCCTGTTAGTTGAAGGGGTGGGACAATGACTGAGAGCCGATGTCTCCTTTCTGGAGAGCACTTTAGCGGAAGTAGGAAGAACGTTGGCTCCTCTCTCGCCCCCTCTCTCTCTCTCTCTGTCTCTCTCTCACACACACGCGCACGCACACACACACACACACACACACACACACACACGCTGAGATTCACATGAAACCCCCACTGAGCAAGAAGAAGCCAGAGAACTGAGTGTGCGCCTGGGCACGGCCTGGCCTTCGTTTCCAAGGTCTCTGCAGAAAGCCGCATGCTGGCATCTTCCCCAGAATAGAAGCAGAACTCCAGAGAGCCCAGGTCAAACGCAGCTCTTCACTCTTCACTTCCTGTCTTCTCAGAAGAGGCTTTTGGCACTGGCTTCTCGTGCTCCCTGCGACCAAAATCAATACCGCAGCATCCAGGCCTGAGCAGCCGTTTCTGGTCTCTGCCTTGACCACTGGCCAACCCCAGAGGCCGGCTCCAGGGGACCCATTCTCAAGTGTTTCAATTTGCTCAGCTCGTGACCTCGTATATTGAGGTCCACTCTCAGTGCCTCTGGGGCACGCTGAGGGCCTCCTCGTTTAGTCACATTCTGAGGTGTGTCCCAGCACTGTCCTGAGGTGATGCTGCTCTAGCCAAATATCATTGGCTCTGAGCTCTCGAAGCAGTGAGAAGGCAGGGGTTTGGGTTATCTAGGAAATGAGGAAACAAAAATGCTTTTGGTTGGAATGAGCTGCCAACAAGGGTGGGTGCGATGGGGCACACCTATAATCCCACCACTGGGGAGGCTGAGCCGGGAGGATTGCTTCGAGTTTGAGGCCAGCCTGTACATCATAGTGAGTTCAAGGCCAGCCTGGATCACCTAGCGAGACCTTGTCTTAGAAAAAAAGAGAATGAACTGCCAACAAACCCTGTGTGTGACCAAGTGTGGCTGGAGGGGGACTAGACTGAGTTTCCTCCAACCCCTGCCCACCTTTCATCTCGGACCGACCAGATGTCACAGGTACCTGGGAGCATAGCAGAAGACAAAACAAAAAGAACAGGCCTGTGGGCCCGCTCCAGACCTCATTCACACGCCAGGGCAGGGAGCAAGGAATCCATATTTTAAAAATAACAGAACAAAAAGGAGCCTCCCCTCTGTGCTTCTCACACCAGGCAGGAGGGAGCGCCACCAGGTGAGACCACCATGAGAAGCCTCGGAGTGACCTTGGGCCGTGGGGTGGCTCAGAGCCCTTGGCTCCACCTGGAAAGCATGCTGCTCTGACAGCCGCCACAACTGCTGTGGCCGTTAGGTGTGCGAGTGCATGCCGGGGCTTGGGGCAGCATGCACTGACCTACATTCCAGGCACGTCAGGTAATAGCGAGTCATACGTAAGGCAGTTTTACCTGTGAAGACCCTTGTGAATTTTGAAAGGTAAAGAGCAGACAGCAGGTATTGAGAATAATATTTAGATGGGTAAATAGGAAATAACTCTCTGCTAAGGTGACATTGAGCCTGCAGGAGGTATAGGAGGAATCACTCCGGGGTCTGTGAGAAAAACAGTACAAAGAACACCACACATGCAGAGATCCTACAGCAGCATTGGCCTCAGCAAGCCGATTGAGAGGGGCAGTAAGGGTCAATGTTAGAAAAGGGCCAGAGGGCTTAGAAGGAATGCGTGCCTCAAAGTGACTTCTTCTGTTCCATGAACACCTGCAGATAGATAAAGAAAAAATTTAACCAAACATTTAAGATCCTTTTCAACCTCAAGATCCTATTCTGGACTGCTTTTCTTTTTTTCCCTTTCTTCTTTTTCTTTTTTCTTTTGGTACCGGGGATCGAACTTGGGTCCTTGCACTTGCCCAGCAGGCAGTGAAACCACTAAGCTAAATCCTTGGCCCTACCCAGCTGTTATTCTTATTACACTTGAGAAAGAGAAAACATTCTGGATACAGAATAGGATCTTGAGCCCAGGGATTTAGCTCAGTTCTGCCACCTGCCTCGAAAGTGCAAGGTCCTGAGTTCAATCCCCGGTACCAAAAATAAAAAAAAAAGAGTAACAGCTGGACATGGTGGCACATGCCTGTAGTCCCAGCACTTAGGAGGCTGAGGCAGGAGGATCACCACAAGCTCAAAGCCTGCCTGGGCTATGTAGTGAGTTCAAGGCCTGCCTGAACTACAAAGGGAGACCTTGTCTCAAACAACCAAAAACAAAAAAAGTAATAGTTACGGTGTCAATGTTGAAGTCCAGAATTCTGAAACTGCTGCTAATGGTTCCTACCTCTTTCCCACAGCTTGACATATGGTCCAAATCCAACTATCAAGTATTCCAAAAGGTAGGTCTTACTTCCTGTTTCTTACTTATAAGTCATTAGGAAGACAAGAATTTGGTGAATAAATATTGGTCTCAAATTAGAGGCTTTTTTAAAAGTAGAAAAAGCCCAACCTAAAAAGCTGCTTGTTTTCTGGGTTTCGTTTACGTGACATTGTGGAACAAACAAAGGCTTAGAGAGAGAAATCAGATTGGTGGCTCCCCAGGGTGGGGGCAGGGAGTTGACCCCACAGGCCCATGGGGACCGCTGGGGAGATAGGGTCTTCTGGGTCTGCATCATGGTGGGGCTACGCGGCGTACATGTCTGTCACAACTTGCACAGCTGCCCCTCCAAGGGCGTCTGACTGTGTAGCTTAACCATTCACCGTCCAGTTATTTAAACACAGGGTGACCAAAAGTTGCATTTTTAAATTAGTTTTTGTAAGATAACAGGAAATATAAAAATGACAATTTTATCAAATTTATTCAGTGCAAGAATCGACTGGTTGAAATGACACCTGCCCAAGTGATGCTTGGGGTAAACTGTTAAGGGTTAAAGAGCCAGAGGCTTCAGAGCTGCTGCAGGCTCACTTGTGAGTGAGGGTCTCAGAGCCTTGTAACCCGCGTGGGGGCCTGAGGGGGAAGCCTGCCCCCCACCATGCGGCCGCCACTTTACACCCAGCGGTGACAGCTCGTTCACCTGCCAGACTTCCTTGGGAACACTGTAAGGGAACGTTAGAAAGCACTTCGAGTACCCGCTCCCACAGGTAGGGGTCCCTGTTCCGGACGGCTCAGTCCCTGCGGCTTGTGTGGGTCTACCCCGCATCCCCATTACGTGAGCCAGTGCCCCGAAGGGCCCCAGCGATGTCTCCGGGCTGGCTCTGCTCTTCCCTCAACAAGCTCGGCTGCAGCTCCTGACAGCCCCTCTGTGTGCCAGGCACCTTGCCAGGTGCTAGGAGTACAGGGATGTGACTCTGAGGAGGCCAGTTTGCTATGGGGGCCGTGCAGGCCGGCCAGGGTCTGCCTTCAGATGAGGGCACCAGAGGAGGTGGGGCCTCCTGAGCGGGGACCTCGTGTACCTCTGACACCATGTGATGGAGCCGCTGTGCCGAGGAGGGGAGCTGCTCCCGGGCCCAGGTCAAGCAGAGGCTGCTAAGCATGGCACCGAATTCGGATTCTGTCGTCGTCAGTTCAGTGAACAGCCACTGGGAAGCTCCCCACAGAGGAGGGTGGGATGTGGGGCTCTGGGCCACAGTCGCTCCCCCTTTGAGAAGTGCCAGGGAGTGTGGGGCTTTTTCCCTTCAAGGAAGTGAAACTCCAGTAAGGAGACATTGACTCGTTAAAGCGAACGCTTCCTGGGCACTCCACACATGCAGCATGTGCAGCACCGGCAGCACGGTCTACAGCCCTCACCTCCTGGGACGCAGCTGCCTCTGTCCCCTCAGCAGAGGGCAGAGCCAAGGCGTGGCGCCATCTGGGCTGAAGACACACACTTGGGGAGCCTTGCACACTAAGCACTAGCACTTCATGGTCTGCTCACAGAAGGCAGGGTGCTGCCAGGGTGGGGTCCTGAACAGAGGATGCTAACGGGAACACCAGGCACAGCCACAGTGCAGTGGAGCCTGACTATGGATGGGCGTCCTGGGGTGAGCTTCCATGCAGTGGGAGATCCTGGGGGCCGGGGCCTGGCGTGGTCAGGCCAGCAAGGCCACGGGATCCGTCTGCACCCTATGCCACGTTCCAGAAATCTAAAACCATGCCAAAATGAAAAGTTCATGTCACAGAGAACCATCGTCCTGCCTCTCCTGACACCCCGTCCCCTGGGAAGCTCCCTAGACACACTGGGGAAAGAGCACCCTCCCCGGGCCGGGCTTTCCTGCCAGGAGTGCCATTTGCAGTCTTAGCTCGGTCGCCATGCCTGAGTATCTACTTGCTCAGCATGGGAAGCGTGTCTGCCTCAACCACCAACTTCCTTCACGCTGACTGTTCTTGTAACTTTTTGCCCGGCTGTTGGCCTAAAAACATTCGAAGGAGAAAGAACATTGCTCATTATCAGTATCTTATTTTGCTGGAGTAGTGAGGAGCGTTAAAACAGTTGGTTTTCCTTCAGCCAGGCTCTTATCTCTGCATCCTCTGTGATATAGCAATGAGTTGCCTCCTCCCGGCCCCACAGAAGGCCCCGGACGCTCCCAAGGCCGAGGCCGAGGCTGAGGCCTTCCAGCCCAGACCCTGGGCTTTGACAATTGTCCAGTCTCCATCCCAATGCCCTTAGCGGGACGGCTTGAATACACTGGACTTTGAATAACTTTTAGTGTTCTGTGTAGGATGGAGTGTTTTTGAATGCAAGAGGCAAGTTTGCTGGGAAATTGGGGAGTGCGTGCAGCACAGATTTGGTGAGACACGGAGGGACAGTGTTGTGGGTGTGTCCCACCTGCTCAGGGCTCTTTGTGTTTAGCACCACAAACATAGAGCGCTGTTTAAAGCTTGGCATCAGACTAGCTGGCAAGCCGTGAAAGTGCCCCCTTGCTTGCAGTGTATGCATCACGTGTGAGGCACTAAAGGATGGGGGTGTCATCTTACCTGGAGAGTGGCGTGTTGTCTGTTGGCACAGAACCCTTAGCGAGATTCCTGATGAGGCGTCTCTACCGCCATTTTTAACCGAATGGATGTGACCTTTTCTCCTGACCTGTGCTAAATTAAAGAACCGCGACCGAGGACAGGTGGCAGTGCTCCGATTAGAACTGAAGACAGATAGTGTTGAGATCTTCTTTCTAATTTCAGGGACAGGTGAGCACTAGTAGCCTGGAGTCCCTCTACTAGAACACCACTGTCTGCTGCCAGGCTGAGCCGTGTATTAGAAAGTCACATGGGACAGAGGATTAAGCGTAATCCTTCTCAGTCACGCGCTTGACTAGTCACTGTCTCGAGCGGCGGGTGTGGCATCTCCTCAGGAAGTCTGTGTTCCTGGCTTGCGGAAGGTGGTGGACGGATGCCGTGTGGCTCTTGCTGTCCATCTTGGGCTGGCGAGCGGCCACGGTGGTCCTTCCTGTGCCCCGGCCGGGCCCTTCAGAAGCGCGGCCACTGCGCCCATCACAGACTCTGAAGGCCTGCTGAGCCCTGGGGTGATGGGTCACACTTTAGGCCAGAGGGAAGGTTAGGTGGCAGTATTTCTAAACGCTGCTTTTAGGGTCAGCTGTTTCTCAGAATCCTATTTTCTTCCTGTCTACCCACTTAAATTAGGGTGTCCTGATGGATGTTGTTTGTGGTGCTTCCCTGACAGACGCCATTTGGAAGCACAGTGGTCACCGTTCCCATGGCCGTCAAGCATGCGTAGCCCAGCCAGGCAGACTGGCCAGGGTGGCCAGCCCAGCTCGGGTGTGTGTCAGAGCACTGGGGGCCAATGGGGTGCGTCAGAGGTCCCTGCTCATTACAGAGGGGATCTCTCAGTCAGGAAGCAGTTCCCAGATCGCCCAAAATCCTACAGGGATGGCCAACGCCCCAACTGTGCCCACTTCTGTCATAGGATCACTGGAGAGGGCTTCTCCCCCTCCCTGCTCTGGGTCACAGCACTTCAGATGCCCTTTCTTTAGCACTCACTGTGTGGTTGCAATTACTGCGATTGGCATGTATTTTCCTTCCCACAAACAGCAGCAGTGGCCAGCTCGGACAAGGGCCTGCTGGGAGGCGGGAGCCCTTGGGTCTTCCCTCCGTGGACACAGGAAGCAGATGGAGACGGGTGCTGAAAATGACATCAGGAGCAGGGAGAGGGAAGTGTAACACAGTCAGATTCTCCTGGGGCCCCGCCTTGCTCCCTGAGTTAAAGCCTGGACCCCAGGGCTCTGCAGCAAATCCCACCACGGGAGGCAGACTTCGGCCTCCCCTTTGTGTGCAGGCATTGACTCTGTCAGCAAGCCCTTTGCTGTCCTACTCATTAGACCCCGTACCCAAGCGTGGGGAAGTGTCGGCAGGCCGGAACAGCTTGCTGCGGGTCCATGGCCACTAACAGGTGCCTGTCATTTACCAGGCTCCCCCGGAGGCACCTTGCACACCATCCTAGGGCGAAGTGGCTTTTCATAGCCAGCAAGTCTCCAGCAGAGTGGGTTCAGAGAATGGGGCTTAGAAATAGGGGATCCTCTGAAAGGGCAGAAGCACAAAGAGCCAAGAAAGGTTTCAAGCGTGTTCATATTTTTCTGACATTTAAACTCTGCAGGGGCAGTCACTGTTTTGATCTTTAACCCCCTCATTTCAAAACAGTGTTCATTTTCATGCAGTAACTTGGGAGCCGTGAGAGCCAGGCCTAGATGCTTCTATGCTGAATCCCACCAAGGCAGCTGTGGAAAGAGGTGCAGAGTGGGTCTCCTGGGAGGGTAGATGGAGACCAGGGTGGGGTCAGAGGGACGAGCATGCTCTGCCGTGTTGGCACTGGCAGCAGAGGATGAAGCGGAGCTGCCAGGGCCACGGAGGCCCAGCCCTGGTCCACGGTTACTGCTCTGCCAGTTGCAGGGAGCAGAGGGAGCTGTTAGCTCCACACTGGGGGGCTCAGCCTTGGCCAGGTGGGTGTGCAGTGGGGCGCCACACTCCTCAGTCCTGTGTTCATTCATCAGCCAGGCTTTGATGTGACACTCTGGGCCCTGTCTGGGTACAGCCTTATCAGAGCTTCTTCCTGAGTGACCACTGGGTACGTTTTAGTAGAAGGGACTGAGTCAGCCCTGGAAGGCTCAATTCTCTGATATTAGGTTGGCTCTGTTGAGTACCCTGATGTCACCTGTGCCTGATTCCAAGTCCCTGGGGGGACGCTGTCCTGGGGACAGGAGCCTGGCTGTGTGGCATGTCACCTAAGCATATGTACTCCTGTCCTTTGACCTGAACCTGGCCCCTCCACCCCAGCCCAGCGTGTGTGACTGCAGACACAGGCTGCCAGGGCTGTGCCTGTCACCTCTCCTATGCTGAGCTCCCATTGTCCCCCCTCAGTGACCATCCCGAGAGGCCGAGAGCCGTCTGCTGGTGACCAGACCCCAGCGCCAC